AACCCCACATATTCCATCAGACCTGGATCGGAGTACGATTGGTTTAGTGCAATAGTATAGGATTTATAGGAACGGATCATTGCAGTTAAAAATGCTATTACATTCTATTCCACGAGTCGGACATCAAGCATGTCCTCTTTACCAAATCTGGTAATTTTGCTGATGCATATCTGTCATCATCCTTCTGTTGAACTAGCTCGTAACAGAACGATGGGTGGTCTACCGATCGGTGAACTGTAAGGCCTTGCTCATTACTGAAAATTTCATTTGAGGCTTTATTTAAAAACTGGCCCGAGGATGTTGCTCCTAGGGTGGGATTGAATTCTCGCCCGTTCAAATTCTGAGTTGCTTTAGTCGGGAATAGTTTGACAGGGAGCAGGTGGCAATTTCATCCATCATAGATTGGGTTACGCCTTCGTATCTGTACATCTGCAGCAGGGACATCGAGCCGGAATCTGGTGGACGAGTTGAACACCGTACAGGTCCTCTTCCACCTCCCGATCCGCAAACGCACTAATGAGAATGAAGGGAAGCTGAATGCTTACCTTGATCCATCTGATAAATTGAGAATGTCAATACAATTTAAAAAAAAACTACAAGGGACAGCCCTGTGGGGTTGTACGCAATGGTGACGTAAGACTACGTGGTCTTACATAATAAATGTTATTTGTTAACTGCAGCAGGAGCTTGTGTTTTGTGTAGAATTTGAACGAGGTTCTCTCTGTTTATACTCTTTAGTATGACGCGCTTGACATAGATGGCCCACAGCAACTCACGAAGAGCTACTGATTCCGATCAATAGTGGTGCGGCTTCTTCCTCCTTCTATAGATGCTCATGTTAACGGCAGCTCGCTGCTTGCAGGCAGCTTTTTGTTGTGTACTGGAGAACACCACCACTGACCACGCGGTGATTGAATACAAACCGTTCGATGAGACCGGATGGAATTCAACTTTGAAATCTGTGTTAGGGAAAAAGCTTTTCGCAGGCAATCGGTGATAATTTTAATTATCATAGCAACAGTTGCACATTCGTGCAATTTCCAATAGTGACATTTTGAAAAACGATATAGTCCTAAAATCAACAGATGCGTAGAAATATTTCTGATTGATTGGTGATACAATTCAAGAGCCACATGTGAAAAGGACATACAAGCTTTTTGTAAACAAACCTTTGTAGGCCCTCTTCTCGCCAACCGAAGGTTGCCCACGCAAACTAACTACATCATCGGAAAGGGGAAACCTTCCCCTATCCGACGATGTTGATGGTTTGCGTTGGTGTCATATGGGTGGCGAGAAAAAGGCATAAGAATGTTTGTTTACAAAAAGCTTGTATGCCCTTTTCACATGTTGTTCTTGAATTATTGAAAGAGGTCCAGGGGCAATTGAGTTATTAAGGGGGTAGTACACTTTGAACGTCCAAAAAGTAAGGCATTTTCGTTAATTTTTTTTTAAGCAATAAAACACTCAGGGAGGGCAAATATGTTATAACCCATTTATTAAATAGTCATCCTTCGAACTACAATTTGTATTTTTTTTAACTCGATTGGCGGCTCCCCGTGGCCAGTGCACCAGGTCGCGCGGGCATCCTCACGTGGAAGTCGGAAAACGGCGTGGGGAAATACTCCTTTCCATGTGATCCTGGAACATAAATTGAACAAAAATCCTGATTAGTAATGAAATTTGGGTTAGAAATACGCATTCCGATTTTTTTTAAATTAATTTTTTCAAAAGTTGTGGCCCTAGGAAAAAAAAGTCCATTTTTCCACCCTAAAAATGCTTATTTGACTAAATCGAAAATGTGGATACGTATTTCTAAGCAAAATTTAATTCTGAACAAGAAAACCTAGGCGATATCCAAATTTGATGATAACTGATTAGAGTTATTTCCCACGCCAGTTTGAAAAACCCCGTTTCGAGATAAACGAAAGATAAGATAAAATTGCTCTCTCAGCGCACCGGTACATGATTTAGGAAATCGCTTCGTAAAGCGGTAATGAATATTCTGGCGGACTTGGAGTCTTTTCTAAATTAAAGTATACATCCCAACCTTGGAGGCGAACCAGCCCAAGGCTGAAAGCCTCCCTAATAAAGATAAATAATAATAATATACATCCCAAGAAACATTTTAAGCCAAAAAAAAATGCATTTTTTTGAAAAATCAAAGTGTACTCCCCGTTTAACGTTCAAAAACTTTCATATTTTGTTACATCTTCCATTTTCGGTTTTCACAAAGTGTACCCCCATATAGAAATCACAGACGTAGTCCTACGTCAAAAAGTCATAACTCTCGGGGTTGCCAGACTCATGGAATATTGACACATTGATAGGCACACTTTGATTGAAACCACGTTCGGCATAGCGCTTTGCACAGCTTTCGGCACAGCTCAATCACTCGGCACGGATTAAGGTGTGCAGAGTTGAATACCCCTTGTACGAAAATGATAAAACGTATCTCGGCTGAGCATTTCTCGAGGCATATCTCGATCTGAAGAATTTTCTTTTAACTCAATTAAAAATAATCAGTAGAATCGACGTTTTACGAGGGTGGACTTATTGTTTTCAATGTTTTCAAGTAAAATGCAAAATTAGATTAAATATGGCACCTAAAACTATGCCACTTTATGAGAATGATTTCAATAATTTTAGAAATTCAACAGGATTTTTAAATAATCAGTTTTTATTTTCATTATTTTGATAAGACCGGATGGTATTTATGAATCCTTTGCTATCTGGATTGATGCTTTTTTCTAGTGGTTTTAGCGAGCAGCTAGGAAAAAGGCCTCGAAAAAGGTTTTTATTGGTTCTCAATGCGTTCGTCTTAAAAACTTTTTGCAGTAAATCAAGCTTGAAGCGCTTCGAGAATATACCCTTCCGAACCTTCTCCAGAATGGGCCAAATTCTAGTCCTAATGAGATTTTGGTATTGTTTTATAGCAGCTTTGTAGTATTTCATAAAATTTAAAATGTTACTAGGAAATCTTCTCCGAGTATAGTGCAGCCTGTTCTCGGCAGATTCATTAGATTGCTGGATTTTCAGGAAAATTAACTATAAGGAATCATATTTGCCACTAAGTTGATCGCTGTAATAAACAGAAAATCAATACCTTGTCATCGCCTAGCCATATTTAAAATATTATTACTTGATCAAACCAAATAAAGCTCCCACCCCTCGTCCCGTCGGTTATGAATTCCTAACTCATTCCTTCTTATTTGCGACGCTGTAATTTACAATTTTAGACATACAGAACCTCTGATTTGTCGAACACGTTTATCAAACTCTCATAAAGCACGTCTTGCTGGGTGTTACGGATACGTTTTTCTTTTGAGACCTGCTTTGGGTATGGAATTGAAAAATATTATCTCTGTGTACAGCTTACCCCTAGATTAAAGTCAACTAAAGATCGAAAAAAAATCACTAAATTTCCAGAACCCTTTCAGCTACTCTGACTACGCCAGTGCGTGATTCAGCGTGATAGCGCCCACGTCACTCGTGGCAAATAGTAACATGTTATCAAGCTGAAGCTCAACTTGGCTTACAAAAACAGTAATAACCCGATTGTGTCAGTCCCCTTTTTGAAGATCTTTTCTAAAGTTCCACGAAACCTATGCGCTTTTCCAGTGGTGGTCATTGCACCAAAGTATAGGGGAGATGATGGTAAAATGCCCATGCAAAGGAAGATCTCCGTTTAATCCACCTTGTGAATCGATATTTAAGTGCAATTACATCTATTTGTTGGATTAGACTATAACAATTGCTATGCTTAACGAAAATTTTTAAATTCTTGATTAAATTATTGAAATTGAAAGGGCTACCAAAAACCTGCTTTCGAAACGCTGTGGGCAAAATGCGCATCCTGATTTCATGCCAACCATAATAAACAAATACCATAAACGAACTGTATCCCGGATGGGTAAACTATCCCACAAATGGTTTGGATTATACCCTGAACACGTCGTTAAGCTCTCTTTTATGGTTTTTTTTATTAGGGAAGGAAGCATACATTTAGGCTTTACCTACGTTCTTTCTCTATTGAATCTCAAAGGGTTCACGCCTGAGGGTTATGCTTACCACACTACAATTCGCGGAGCGAATCAATCCTCACTTTGAGTATCCAAATGATGGAGATAACTACTATTTTTCTACTAATTACTATTTTAGCGAAATTTTTACCAAAATTGATTTACAATATTATTAATTTCAAATTACTTTTTTCAAAAAGTCTTTCGCTTCCATTTGTATACTAGGGAAGGGAAATTAGGGGGCCCTAATTTGGGCCCATATATAAATTCAGCAATCGACTAAATTTTCAATAGTGACCAAAAATATCAATTAGTGTCGTCCCAATGACGCGCTCATTTAGATAAAATTGATAAATAGCAGATTTTTAGCGATGGGCCCAATTTTAGATCCATAGGCCAACATTAGAGCCTTTCCCCTATGTTAAAAGTGCAACGTATGATAGCGATCTTTTGCCTTCATATCAACTACCAGCTGAGATAGAAGCGAGGCGCATTTTACCCCGATTCCCCCAACTTTAAACACCCACCTTGAAGATGAATGAGAAAGATTTGGAATTGCGGTGATGTGAAATTATTGAAAGATAAAATCGGATCATCACTGTAAACTCACAGGCATTATCTTCCTAGCATAAATCAGCCAAACCAGAACGCATACAATAGAAGTCACACGCAAATTCTTAACAATTTCACCATCTTCCGCAAATGATTCGCGGCCGATAAGTGATTTCACAATCCGTTGAAACTCGGGTCCGAGCTGACCTCCGCCACCGCGCCTCCAATTGGCGTTGACGTGAAGCATGGCGGTCTTCGTACTATCTCTTAACTCCACGGAAAATTCCCACAAGATACATACTGTCAATTTTTTCAACGGTCCCGTCAACGCCAATTGTATCAAATCCTTATCACACCCAATCGGTGTTGTTTACAATTCAACGCAATCATCATTGATCACACCCACCATCTTCTTCTTATTTCCCCCAGGGCCCGCTGGCGTGATAACCGGAGCATCTTCAACACCCCGAACCCCCGGCTGATGAACGTATCGCTCCTGCGGGACAACAAGCCACTGCACCAGGAACGCCGCGGTTCGAGAATGTCCGTCCGGCTGCCGTCCCGGCAACCGAGCATGGCATCGCTCCGTCCGCACTCGCCCAATGCGTCGATAGGTAAGCTAGGTCTGTATGCGGGAAACCGATTCCAACTACTACTACTACTACTACCACTACTTACTAGTGCTAGATTGCTGTGTTGCTGTCTTTTACGCGCACCCCGTCGGTCGCCGTTTGTCGTGCCTGTTTTCGTTTGTTTGAACTGATTGATTGATGTGTTTCCTATATTAACTTTTAAGCATTCCTTCATCCCTGTATAAATAGTAACTTCTGTAGTGCGACATTGCCTATACATATGCCTACTACCACAATATAGAACCCCCGAGCTAGATGTGTTATCAGTTGTGAAGTAAGTTTGATTTAGTTTTATGGAAGCTTTCCTAGTTCTAGATTATACAACAGTTCGTAACCTGTTCGGTGTTGCGTCTTTGCGTTTTTGATTAGTTGTGCTGCGTATTCGAATTTCTGGTTTGTCCGTGTTTGTCGAGTCGTTGAACTCGAACATACGCGATACCACCCTAGTGAAAGACTTGCATGCAAGTCGCAAGTATACATAGTTTATGCTCTCAGATTGAATCCGGTTTCCCTATCATCGGTGATAAATCGTTTGATATGCATCCTACAACCAGAGTGCCAGTAGGGAGATAAACTCCTCCATTTGGTTCTTTAACTGACATAATCCCAAGCCATCGAAACATCCTCAAAGTGCCAAGGCTGCAAAATGCGTGTCGATTCATAGTTGACATGGCTGGTTCTCAGCAATGCGATGACCCATGGTTATGATTCAGCCACCAATCGAAAGATATGGCTATCTAATTTTATTTTGAATAGATAGAAACCCAACTGAACCTGTTGTTGGCCAGCCGGAACGGAAACACCCGGAAAAGTCCCGAGCAAAGTGCGTGTCGATTCATGTTGACATGACTGGTTCTCGGTAATTTGGTTGCCACATCTTAAAATTGAGCCACTACATGAAAGGTATGACTATCTAGTTTCAAACGGAACAGACAAGGAGTTGTAGGTGGCCAATCGGAACGATAAAACCCGTGAAAGGTTGCTCTGTGGAAATCCGGATTCACCGGGAAAATGGTCAATTCCTGAAAGAAGACCTAAAGATCCGCGATTTTTTCCTAAATTGCATACAATTATGAGCATAGAGGAAATATACCATCACCATATCTATTTTGCAACCATGTGGCCAGAAAACGGTTCTCTGGATATCCGGAATCACCGGGAAATTAGTCAATTCCAGAAAGTAGACCTAGAGATCCGCGATTTTTTCTAACTCGCATATAATCATTAGCATAGAAGAAATACGACATCACCATATCGATTCTGCTACCGAGTGGCCAGAATAGGGCCTCTGGATATCCAGAATCACCGGGAAAATAGTCAATTCTTAAAAGTAGACCTGGAGATCCATGCTTTTTTAGAAAATGTGAAGAACCGTTAGTTGAGAATATATATATATATCTCAGTGACATATTGATTTGGCCCCGGTGGCCATTAAATGCCTTTCTGGATATCCGGATTCATCGGGAGATTGGTCAATTCTTAAAAGTAGTCCTAGAGCTGCACGATTTTTCTAATTTGCAAACAATCATGAGCATAGAGGAAATATATCATCACCATATCAATTCTGCAATCTAGTGGCCAGAATATGGTCCTCTGGATATCTGGATGGCTAAGGCTGTGAACCGTTTGCCGAGTTAAATTTAACTCGTGGTTAAAAATGATATTCGTTTCGTAAACGTTTCCTACCACTCGAACTTTAACGTGGAACAATATTATGATATTTTTTCTTCTACAACCTAGAGAAAATAGGGTTTATTGTTTCATTTCCGTAAAATCGCTGGTAGAAGGTCGTATTGAGCGTGCAGTATTGAGCGTGCAGTATTGACCAAGACTTTACCCAAATCCAATTGATTCCATTTGAGCGTGTAGAGAGAAACTGTCAATAAATATATTCATTCTGTTGTTGTTCTCACCGAAACCACATGTGATGTGATTATTATTATTGAAAGAATTCAATAGGTTATGTGTCCAGTTTTTACGCGATTAAATCGAAGTTTTTTTTTTTTTTTTTCTAACTTTTCGGCGGGTTTCGTTGTTCCGGGAGTAGTTTGCGAAAAGAAAACGTCGTACGAAATGGAGGAGGAATCGAAGAGTTTTCGAATCAAACCATTCGATTGAGTTGGTTTCAACAACTGGAGCTTCCGCATGCGAGCTTACCTCCAGCAGCTGGAAGTGTTACACTGCGTGGAGCGGAGTGCGGAAGAGGAAGAGTTTTGGAATACTCCTGATACGGCAACGGCGGAAGTGAGAGCGGCGAATAAGATCCTGGTTCAAGCGCGAGTGAGAAAAGACAACAAGTGTCGGTCTGTCCTAATTCAAGCGGTGGCGGACAGCCACCTTGAGTACGTCAAGGACAAAGTGTCACCGAAGGAAATCTGGGACGGTCTACATGATGTCTTCGAACGGAAGAGTATAACTAACAGGTTCTTGCTGAAACGGCAGCTGCTCGCAATGCGATACAACGAGAGTGAGAAGCTGCAGAATCATTTTTTACGGTTCGACCAGCTTGTGCGAGAGATAAAAGGTGCTGGTGGTCGTATGGATGAAGAAGACGTTATATGCCATCTGATGTTAACGATGCCAGATTCGTTCGATGCTGTCACCACAGCAATGGAAGCAATTTCGGAAAAGCTGACAATGGATTTGGTGCGACGAAAGTACCTCGACGTTGAGGCTAAACGCAGAGGGCAGCGGCAAGAAGCTGAAACGGAGGAAGCGGCTTTCGTGGGAAAATTCAAAGGCAAGCTGAAATGCTTTGGCTGCGGGGAGCTCGGGCATAAACGTGCTCAATGTCCAAAGTCCAGCGAGAAGAAGAATAGTGCGTCGAAACCAGTGAAGAAAAGTGAAACGCAAAAAGCAAATGTGGGAGTAAAAACGGTGTCGTTCGTGGCCGCTGAAACCCACCCCGAGATGGCGGCGATTAGTAAAATGACTGACGTGCGGTGGTTTTTGGACAGTGGGGCATCGGATCATATGTCCAACGACAGATCACTGTTTTCGGTTTTGGAAAAGTTGGATCGTCCGGTTGAAATTCTAACTGCCAAGAGTGGTGTGAGCTTGGTTGCAAGCTACAAAGGTCGTGTTATCGCTAGTGCTTTGGTGGATGGTAAAAAGATTCAGATTACCATGGAAGACGTGCTGTTCATTCCGGAACTGTCACTGAACTTGCTTTCGTTGCGACGTCTAGAAAATTCCGGGAAAAGAGTTGTATTTTTCGGCGGAAAAGTGAGTGTCGAGGACGAAGAGGGAGTTGTGGCTACCGGACGACAACTAGGCCGTCTGTACTGTATGGACTTTGTTTGTGACAAATTGAAGCCTGACGAAAAAGCGCTAGTGAGTGGTCGAGTGTGCAAAAGTTTGAAAATGTGGCATTATCGATTTGGCCACCTTGGCAATGAGAATCTCATGAAACTTGTGCGGAACGAGATGGTCGAGGGCATGCGGGTGGAAATCGGGCGCGCTAATACCGAAAAGTTCTTGTGTGAACCGTGCATTAACGCAAAGCAGACGCGGGAACCGTTCGAGTCGCGGGTGGAAAAGCGTGCTAGCAGGCCTCTCGAGATTGTGCACAGTGACGTTTGTGGCCCCATCTCCCCTCTCTCCTGGGATGGCCACGAGTATTTTGTTACGTTTACGGACGATTTTACGCATATGACGGTAGTTTACCTCATGAAGCGTAAGTATGAAGTGCTTGAACGGCTGATGGAGTACGAGGCGATGGTAACCGCCCATTTCGGGACAAAGATCGCGCGTCTCCGAAGTGACAACGGCGGCGAATATACCGGAAAATCCGTGAAGAACTTCTGTAGGCAGAAAGGCATAAGGCTGGAGAAAACGGTGCCATATACGCCAGAGCAGAACGGGGTTAGCGAGAGGCTGAATCGAACAGCTATTGAAAAAGTGCGTGCAATGCTCGAAGCCAGTGAACTTCCGAAGGAAATGTGGGGTGAAGCGTTGTACTCAGCTATATATCTGCTGAATCGAAGCCCGACTGTCGCGGTGGAAGGTAATATCACGCCATATGAAGCGTGGTACAACAAACGACCGAACGTATCGAATCTTCGCGTGTTCGGAAGCGAGTGTTTCGTACATGTTCCAAAAGCATTGCGGAAGAAACTTGATGCGAAAAGCCAAAAGGCAGTTTTTGTGGGCTATGCGCCGAACGGTTTTCGTTGCTGGAACGGTGAAAAAGTGATTGTGGCTAGAGACGTCGTCTTCAATGAGTCACGATTCGGGAAGCTCACTGCAGTTAATGAAGAAAACCGGGTTGATGAAGTGATTATCATGGAACAGCCGGATAAATCGGAGCGTGATGGTGTTCAAGAAGACGATTCAGAGGCTGGAAATAGTAATCCTCCAAGTGAAGAAGGTTGGGAGTCGGCAGCCGACTCGGCAGAAGAAGCGGTCGGAGGTGCGGATTCGGATCTGGAGGAGACCCCAGAGGAAAACAGTAACGTGAGAAAAAGTGGAAGAGTGAATCATCCACCCAAGTGGTTGAGTGATTATGATGTGGATAACTCGGATATAACGGCGTTTGCGCTCAGTGCGGATGAATTTGTTGAAGACATTCCGTCGGATGTGAAAGTGTTGAAGACTAGAAGCGATTGGCCTATGTGGAAAAAGGCCATCGATGAAGAACTTGCATCTCTGGACAAAAACGATACGTGGACCCTTGTTGAACTGCCAGAAGGTCGAAAAGTGGTGGACAATAAGTGGGTTTTCAAGATTAAACGGAACAGTGATGGTGAAGTGGAGCGTTACAAAGCCAGACTTGTGGCGCGCGGTTTCTCGCAACGGCGAGGCTTCGACTATTCGGACACTTACTCTCCGGTAGTGAAAATATCTACGTTGCGTGTTTTGTTGGCATTGGCCAACCAGGAAGATTGGGATGTGCACCAATTAGATGTCAAATGCGCATTTCTGAACGGCGTGTTGGACGAAGAGGTGTATATGCGCCAGCCGTCTGGTTTTGAGCGGGGAGGTACACTGGTGTGCAGATTAAACAAGGCGATCTACGGGTTGAAGCAAGCTTCGAGGAAGTGGAACTTGCGTTTCCACCAGTTTATGATCCGGCTGCAGTTCAAACAAAGCGAGTACGATTCATGCCTGTACAGTTGGTCGAAGGGCGGTGTGGTGTTGTACGTAGTCATCTACGTAGACGATATACTTGTCCTCGGGAACTCGGTGGATATAATATGTATGCTGAAGGCGAAGCTGTGCGGTGAGTTTGAAACTAGGGATCTTCAGGAAGTAAAGTCGTTTCTTGGCTTGAATATACATCGCGATCGCAAAGCAGGAGTGTTGACTGTAGACCAGCGCGTTTACGTAAGTAAAATTCTGGAGCGCTTTGGGATGAGCTGCTGTAAACCGTCTGCTATACCAATTGAGCCTGGCCTGAAGCTAGAGAAGAAGAAGGATACGAAGGAGATGACGTCCAAGCCGTACAGGGAGCTTATCGGTTGCCTAATGTACCTCATGGTGACATCGAGGCCGGACATCTGTGCGGCAGTAAACTATTTTGCTGCATTCCAGTGCTGTGCTACGGAGGAGCATTGGGTGCACCTCAAGCGAGTGTTACGCTATCTTCAAGGTACGACCGATTACAAGCTCGTGTACCGTCGACAGGTATCACCAACCATTCTCGAAGCGTACGCGGATGCTGATTGGGGTAATGACCCGAATGATCGGCGTTCGGTTTCCGGGTTCGTTATCAAGCTGTGTGGATCTGTGGTTGCGTGGACAACCAAGAAGCAGTCTTCGGTCGCGCTTTCAACCACGGAGGCGGAACTGATGGCCCTTTGCCTGACCAGTTGCGAGCTGGCTTGGATGGCGAAATTACTCAGCTCTATTGGATGTGCTATGAACGAACCAATCAACATCTTTGAAGACAATCAACCTTGTATTGCTATAATCGTCGAACCAGGGAAGCAGAAAAGGTTGAAACATGTGGATATCCAGCATTTCTTCGTTCGTGAGTTGGTTGAGGATGGTAAGCTGCGTATTGTGTACTTGCCGACTGAACAGCAAATTGCCGATATCATGACCAAAGGTCTAGCTGCTCCGCGATTCCGAATGCTTCGCGATTTGCTGGGGATAATCAATTGAGGGGGAATATTGAGCGTGCAGTATTGACCAAGACTTTACCCAAATCCAATTGATTCCATTTGAGCGTGTAGAGAGAAACTGTCAATAAATATATTCATTCTGTTGTTGTTCTCACCGAAACCACATGTGATGTGATTATTATTATTGAAAGAATTCAATAGGTCGTTCCAAAACTGCTCCACAATATGATTAATTTCGACAGAGATTCCCGACGGCGGAGGTTCCAGATGATTGCAGTGGTGATATCAGTTGCTATCAATGAAGCTTGCAGACGATTTCGACGGAGGATTCCAAATGATTTTAGATGAGATGATGAAGATGAGACGCGATTTTAGACTATTTCGACCATGATTCCATACCATTTCGACGGAGTTGGCTTGGATTCCCGAAGGCGGAGGTTCCAGACGATTTCAGTGATGATTTCGGATGCTGCCAATGAAGGTTCCAGACGATTTTAACAGAGATTCTGCACGAGTTTGATGATGTTTACTGACGTTAGCGATGGAGAAGGTTCCAGAGTAGGTGATTTCATCGGAGTTCATGCTGAGTTTCCCGACGGCGGAGGTTCCAGACGATTTCAGTGGTGATTTCAGATGCTGCCAATGAAGGTTCCAGAGGATTTTAATAGAGATTTCACCCGATTTTGACGGCTTTTGTTGAAGGTTGCGACGGAGTTTGCTAACATTCCCGGTGGATTCCCGACCAGGCGATTTCGGTGAATGTTTCAGATGCTACCGATTCAGACAGGAAATTACAATTGATTTTTTAAAAAAGTTCCATCCGATTTTGACGGAGTTTGCTGATGTTCTCAACGGAAACGGTTCAGGACGATTTCGATAGAGATGTCAGTTGCTGCCAATGAAGCTCCCTAACGATCGCGATGGAGGAGATTCTAGATGATATTTACAGAGATTCCATACGATTTCGACGGAGTTTGCTAACGTTTACGATGGAGGAGGTTCCAAACGATTTCGACGGAAGAGATTCTATGTGATTTCAGCATAGTTGCATGACTATTTCGACGGAGTCTACTGACGTTCACAATGGAGGAGGCTCCAGATGATTTCAGTGGAGATTTCAGATGCTGCCAACGACGGTTCCAGGCGATTTCGACGGAGGATATTTCAGACAATTTCAACAGAGATTCCATACGATATCGACGGAGTTCGCTGAGTTTCCCGGTGGAGGAGGTTCCAGATGATTTCGCTGGTGATTTCAGATGCTACCAATGAAGCTTCCAGCCGATTTGAGGGAGGAAATTATATGAGATGAGATTTCAAACGATTTCGACATTGATTCCATACGATTTCGACGGGATTTGCTGATGTTTCCGATGTAGGATGTTCCAGACGATTTCGATGGTGATTTCAGTTGCTGCCAATGAAGGTTCCAGACAATTTTACATGATTTCGACGGAGTTTGCTAACGTTTGCGATGGAGCAGGTTCCAGATTTCGGATGATTTCATCGGAGTTCATGCTGAGTTTCCCGACGGCGGAGGTTCCAGACGATTTCAGTGGAGATTTCAGATGCTGCCAATGAAGGTTCCAGAGGATTTTAATAGAGATTTCACCCGATTTTGACGGTTTTTGTTGAAGATTTCGAAGGAGCTGACATTCCCGATGGATTCCCTGCCGATATCGGTGAATGTTTCAGATGCTACCGACGAAGTTTCCAGCCGATTCAGACAGAGGAGATTACAAATGATTTTAAAAGAAGTTCCATTCGATTTTGACGGAGTTTGCTGATGTTCTCGACGGAAACGGTTCAGGACGATTTTGATGGAGATGTCAGATGCTGCCAATGAAGCTTCCTAACGATTTCGACGGAGGAGATTCTAAATGATTTTTACAGAGATTCCATACGATTTCGACGGAGTTTGCTAACGTTTACGATGGAGGAGGTTCCAAACGATTTCGACGGAAGAGATTCTATGTGATTTCAGCATAGTTGCATGACTATTTCGACGGAGTCTGCTGACGTTCACAATGGACGAGGCTCCAGACGAATTCAGTCGAGATTTCAGATGCTGTCAACGACGGTTCCAGGCGATTTCGACGGAGGATATTTCAGACAAGTGATTTCGGATGCTGCCAATGAAGGTTCCAGACGATTTGATACGCGATTTTGAGGGTGTTTGCTGACGATTTCGATGGAGTTTCAGACGTTCCCGACTAGGATTCCGGCAGTTCCTGAATAATGCACCAGACTTTCCCGACAGAGACACCAGATGTTTCCGACGACAAATCCTGAAGGTTTCTACGGTGGGGATTCCAGACATACCCAATGGTCACTCTAAACGTTTCCGGACATTCCATACGAAGATTCCATCTGTCTCGAATCTAAGTCGGACACGTCTGGAATCCAAGATGGGAACGTTTAGAATATCCTTCGGGAGCGTCTGGAACCTTCGGTATCCTGGTTTAGAAGCTCTGGTATCAGTGCACGGAACCTAACCTAAATCTCCTCGTCTTCTTTTTCTATGCCTAAATTTTGACAGTTCTGCCGGGTGTCCCTCATGGGAGTCAACAATGAAAGATATGTTTGGAACAATTATCCGATGCCATTTTGGGATCTGTTGTGGCAAATTAAAGTTCAAAATGGATGGTTTCATCCAAACTTCAACTGGATTCAACAGCATTTACCGAAAATCGTAATCTAATGTCACTGTTCAATTCAAAAAAGAATAATTCAAGTCCAAAATTGTGGCAAACTATCATAAAGTATACCTGGGGAGAAAACCCAACAAATATTGGAAACAGAATAAGAGATTATTGAGGCAAAAATATGCTTTTCCAGCTAAACAATTGTTTATTGGGAAGGCAGGCCATATAATAGTCCTCTTCAATGCACGACCAATGTAGAGAGTGCCAGGCGAGTTCTAGAGGAAACGTTAATTAAAGCATTTTTCATTTAACATATTGTCAATTTCCATCGGTAAGTGTCTTATTTTACAATATTCTACAGATCTGAACTAATTGGAATCTAAACTAACCACACGCAAGAAATCCGGAAGATCATAACCACTAAGGCACTATTATAATTTTTCATTTTTCTCAACAAAAATATTTCTGAACACTAGCAGGATCCTTGCAAAAATGATACAGAATTAAATTTTTCAACTGTAGATCAAGCTTTGGAGCATCTTAGATGAATTAATCTATCAGGAAAAATGAAAAAGTGTTCCGTTTCCTACGTCTCCCGACAAAAATGTCTGCTCACATCACTATTTTTGGCGTTCTCCTATTCACCACCAGAGGTTGAATCGATCGCTAGTTTCTATTGAAAAAGCGTATAGTGAACCATGTATTTTAGTTTTTCAAATTTAGGATGAAGCTGGAGGAGCTAGTGGATATATCCGCAGTGGAACCACGTTCGCGAGCTTAGTACTTAGTAGTTATGTTGATGTTATTTATTCAAACCCTTTCCCTTCAAAACACAACAAAAACAAGCAGCCACCCTGTTCTTATAGTAGCGACACGTTTTCCCGTTTGATGGTTGATGGTTTTTCCACATTTGAAGCTCACATGTACGCCAAAACTAACCTCTTCTCAATGTCTTCCATCCCATTTTTGCCTTCGTTCTTACCTAAAGCAGGTTCCCGTCGTGGATCCCGCGGTAGCAGCAACGCCTCGGCCACCTCGACCCGCTCGAACCGCTCGCAGCACGCCAAGGACAACGGAACGGCGGCCGCCCATCAGCAGAACGAAAGCGTCACCGTCGAAATTACCGAGGTTCGATCCTAAGCTAGAACCGAAAAAAAAATAAACGAATACCGGCAACAACAACAAATGAAATTTCATCGCGACTCGTTAGGGACCATTTACCGAACTAAATTCTAGCTGAAAAAGGAAAAAAAAGAAAATGAGTTTCATAAGTAGACAAGAAAATGAACTAATAACTACTTCTTAGCCACCTCGCCACCCAGAAGGAGGAGGAAAACTAAAGTGATCTTTTCTAAACTAATAAAAACCAAAATTACAAACCGTTGCTTACAACAAGAGAACAACACTCGAAACTCGAAGGAACAACGCAAGCAATTATCAATAACCTTTAGGATGAGACCGGACAATTTAGAGAATCCGACCTAGCTATTTCTACACAGAGCGAGCTCTTTTCCAGAACAATAGAGAAGCATCTTCCAGAGCCATTCCGAGATCGAGAAAGCTTTCCCTTATACCTACGATGTAAACGTCAAAATAATGAAAACAAAAAAATCTTTTAAAGTCAAGGTAGGCGCCGACGCGACGCGAAGAATCATCGTCATATCCCCGTAGAAGAGAATGACAGGTTTATTCCAGTTCGGCGGACAGTTGAATAAGAAGAAGAAGAATGTAGTTGTAGAACGATGTTAGATGAATCTTTGACATTAAAACAAAAACGTAGAAAAGCATATGGAAACCATGAATAATTCAGTTTCACTTTGAGTAAAACTTCGAGCATCTCAGCAGAAGAGGAGTAGCCAGAGTATAAATAATTAGCTGTCAATTTTTTTCCAGAGAGAGTCAAAACCGTAGCGTCATCTTTAAATCAATACTAAAGTAGAAAGAAAGAGCATTTCCAGATCTATGTGTAAGTGAAACGATAGAGGAAAAACTTGGTTCGCCAATAGTGACGTTTAATTTTTCAAACGACGTAGAGATCATCTATTTTGTATGGTTTGTTTAGCGAACAAAAACATATTTAAACGCGCATAATTAAATGACAATCTATTGAGATAAACAAAAACCACAGTGAATATGATAACAAAGGAAAATATCCACACAAAAAAGCAGTAACGAACGAAGCGAAAGCAGGATGGAATGATTAAACAACACCTATCCGTTCGATTTTTGACTTAGTAATTGTAGCAGCAGCAGCAACAACTTTGACTTCTGATCCAAAATAGTGAATCAAAATTTTGAATAATAAACAATAAACATCAAACATAGTATAAACAGTATGACACGCGATAGATGCGGAAGAAGAAAGAAAGATGGCAGCACCGCCGTAATGCCCCTGAAAGATTCAAAAGCGAAGGAAAATGCTAGAATATACTAAAGAGATAAATAGCACCACGATTTTACTTCTATTCATACAGCATCTATGCGATAAGAATGTAGGCGATAACGGAAAAAAAAATATATAAGAAAAATTGTAAAAAATATTAATGAAAATATGACTGCTTTACACCTAGTATCAGAAACAAATATATTAGAAAGCGTAGAGTGTAATTGATCTTAAGGGAAAAAAATAAGCACAGTTTTAAGATTCAACACCTTCTATTTAGGAGCAGATTTTGATAAAACTAGCAAATGTATCGTAGGAGAACTTTTAATTTGCCGCTGTCTTTAACTGGGCTTTTATTTCCATTTACGTATAAAGGATTGAAAAATACAAAAAACTTACTCTATCTGCAGTGAGGAGCGCATGTGATATTATAAAAAAAAAAAAACAAATCTACTTCTAGCCTAACATTAAATCAACCAAAAAATACTATTCAATAAGACAAAAAAACGATCCAAATCGAACCAAAAAAAGGTAAACAAAGAACCGTCAAGCGCAGGAGGCGGACCCTCGCATCAACCGAAGCGCCATCTCTGGAATGTTTCTGCTAAAATAGGGGAAGATTTTTGGAGAAATATTCCGAACTTTGCTGTCTTTGTGTCAGTTTGGTCCGTCTTCGTCCGCGCATAATAGAGGCGAAGACGCACAGATTCACAGTTTCACACACACACACATACGCACTCACCCATCTCGTTGATTATAGGCGCACATCGCAACTGTCACAATTGAATAAACAAACAAGGGAAACATAGCGTTAAAAGCGAACGAATATAAAAGCACAAGCGTTCCCGAGTCCGTTCCGGGAGCTCGAGATGCAGTGTTGAACCTCCCCTAACCCAGCTTCAGTTCTTACCAAAAGTGTAGATTTTCTCTTTTTTCCAACAACTAATCGACCAAATGAGACACGAACAGAAAGAAATGCTTTAATCGATATACCTAAGATACTAGTTGAAGATTTAACGAAATGATACCATAAATAATTGCAGACCTAACAAGCTTGGAACAACCTAAACAAACAGAGTAGAGTATCCTATAAAAATGCGAGAAAATTTACAATTATAAGAACCAAGATTGATTTTCAACATTCTCACTAAATGGACAGAGCACGCCAGAAAGAAATAATTTGTTTGCAGCCTCTTTCGTATCGCCATTTAGATGTTGACATACCCCTTTTTAGAAGATGAAAAAACCAACCTCTTTAACCAGTTCTTATTTCCAACAACTAATACGTTATCACAAAATATATTAAAACAAAACAAAATAAATATATCCCTAGTAGTAGCCCGTAGGAAACAGTCAAACTTAAGGAAAAACGAATCGCGTTTAGAGAGCGAACAGAATAGCTTGAGATATCAAAAGTAAAATTAACGAATGAAGCAGAGAAAACTCAATTGATGCACCCGAGTTGAAAACGTTAAAATTTTGAAATTTGGGGAAGAATTTCAAAATTATCACGTTTTGCTCTTAAATTTTCGTAGAAGTAGTGTGATAGCGTTTGAAAATTATTAAACAAAAAAAAAACATTATAAGATACAATTCAACCATAGTTCGTATATTCATCGATAGATTGACTCTCACACATAAACACATCAACACGTCAACTCATAAGTCTCACTATCAAAACAGACACACACTCACACACATAGACGGATTCGTTTACACGATTGAAATTATTGAAAAGAAAAATTGATTACAGTGTAGGGAAAAAAAAATAGCATGCGACGAAGTGGTAGTAAATGTACACACACAAAAAAAACACACAAACAAATGTGAACGCGAAAAGCTCTTATTTACTACTTACGACTACTTAGTACCCACTACTATAAAAACAAAGGCAAAGAATTATCGCAAGAAAAAAGGCGCTATCAAACTATTTTCTATGATTATTGAAAAAAAAAAAGCTAACAAACAAACAAACGTGAATTTAAGATCTTAAGACTATTGTTGTTCTCTACTTCTATTTATTAAGAGGAAAAAAAATGATAAAAAGACAAAAAACAAAGCAAGCTACACATTCTTCTACTCTCTGAGGTTTATTTTCTATGAATAACACTAATCCACATGCGACACATACCGATACACACACACACACACCACACTGACTCACAGATACACATGAAGAGACAGAAGAAGAAGAAGAAAATTAATGCAGAAAAAATGTACTACTTCAAAATTGTATTGCGTAGCGGAAAAATGGTAATATGAAGAAAAATGAATGAAACTATATTCATAAAAGTATGAATTAAACCAAAAAAAACAACAGAATACAATATATACTAGCTAAGATGTATCACTTTACAGAACTTAAAACTTTTATTAAAAACATATTTACTTTACATAAACTAAACAAAACACACAACAAAAAACCGCGAAAGTGGAGTTGTCATTTGTGCCGAAATCTTCTCAGTACTTTAATCACCGACGAACCGACGTGACAGCTCATATAAGCTACTTTCAAGTTCGTGCCCAAGACGCCATATTTAAAATACGTTGGTTTGCGTCTCACCTCGTTTGACAGATCTGATCGTCCGTTTGAAAGTTCGAATTGTGGACAAACGAAATGCTCCTGTGGCATGTCGGTTCGTCGGTGCTTTAAAGGCCATTGTTGCTCGCAGTCCTTCGGATCGAGCATAGAAAACTATTTTACAAAGTATGCTCTCGGCGATACTCAAACTAAAATTTTAATACAACAAACATTAATCACAGATGCACTTATCATTAATAACAAACAACTTACATTAAGTTTTCCTCAATATAACTACTACCAGTCTCACTGCCAACACTCCTATACTCGGTTTTGAGGACCTATGTTGAAAACATTAATTTATTACATTTACTGACTATCGAAATACAAACAAACTCACGGTAAGTAGCACAAAATATCATGAACGAGCAAACCTAATATCGACCAACAATCAGCTGACGAAATCTACAAAAACACCAAATATAACTTTCACAATATTTACAATAAACTATTGCACATACAAAATTGACTTCACACTTATTTTGCTAATTAACTACAAGTGGACAGACAAATTCACTTCACTAAATTAAAAGATGAGAATTTCACCATCTCGTTTCGATCTTCAGTGTCAACAATAACAAATTGCGATGGCTGATCCCACTGCGCGATCAGCTGCATGCGCATGTATGTGTGCCATTCATTTTGGTCATCTTCATCAGCCGTCGAGAACTGTCAGTGGACGGGGCGTTCACGGTATTCGCCCATTCGCAACTGGGTGTTCACTTTCACCGACCGCAACCCTTTCGCAACCGGGTGCTCGTTTTTACCAACGGTAACAGCCATCGTTCGGACATTTTGAGCCGTTTGTCTGTGATTTGGGTGGTTTTCCAGGAAACGTCCCGAAAATCCTGTGAAGGAAAGCGAATATCGGGAAACAAATTCCGTCCGATTGTAGCCAAGGAATTTGTTTTCCTAGTGGGGTAAAATTTGGGTGGAAAAGTGCATTCAACTTCAAGTGGTGTGCTTTTTCCGGGAAAGTGGCATTTCCACCCAAAGAGAATATGCACGTGAGTGTATATGTGCGCGCAAGGAAATGCAATCTTGCGCCTATGTTTTCCCGGGAATTTCCCAAGAAAGTATACCATATTTTTATACCAGGACATTCTGCAGACTATGCACAACATGATGGTATACATAAACATATGATTTTCGAAAATTTGTAGCATGGTTTTTCAATTTCCAAACCATGCGCCAACATTCTCGCTGTAAATTCGTCACGGACATAGTAAAGAAGCAATCAGCAATTACGCATTTGTTTTACCACGTTGCCACATTTTCTTGTTCGTAGGTCCACG